GTCTACACTCAATAAAACATTTGACAAAACCAGCCTTGGTGTGTTTGGGGATGTCTGTATTGACTGACTGTGGTGTGCTGAATGCGATACGGCACCTGGTGGATGCTGATTACAGAATTTTAAGACGTGTATGATACAGTAACTGGCAGTGTGGGGCAGCTGCAATTGTATCTTGAAAGTGAGTCTTTCATGGGAATCAGAAGATTAGGATGCCAGTGATTTGTCTCAAAAAAGTTAATGAATTTGTAGATGGACATTCACTGAAAGATGATAATAAGGATAATAAGAGTGGAGGCATCATAAATGATATTTACTGGAGAGAGGAAATACATGTGGAAAAATCATGTTATCTATGAGACTGAGGATTTTTTGTTCAAATAATTTTGAAAGAGTGTTTCACTCTTGCCTTGAAATTAATAAATCATTGAGGCTGGAGCAGTGGTGCTTGATGTTGCGTGTTGTCCTTCCAGGTCTGGTTTTCAGGTCAGCGGAGGGTGACACAGATAGTGCTGTGAAGGGAGAGGTCACACTGTGCTGGATAGGTAAGTTGTTCTGCTGAAATGAGGTTGCAGCTGTGAGTACTTTTTTACCCCTTTACTTTTAACCATGAAGGAGAGCTGGTCACTTTGGGTAACACGGAAAAATAAGGTGTTGGCAAAAATAAAACCAAGTTTGTACTTTTAACGTGAGCTGTAGAACTGCCCTTTCTCACTGTATGTTCAGTGTATTTAAAACAGCCTGGCTTTTTCTGAGTGCCTGTATGCCTGGGGTTTCAGCTACAGGTTCGGTGCAGTCAGGGCTGGGAGAGATGCTGTTGTTACCTATAGCTTGTTGGTGTGCCAGGCCTCTTGTGTCATTGTGGTAAATTCACTTGCTATAAACTTTGAAAAGGCAATTGCCACTGGCTAACTCCCACTTTGTGTGTAAGACACTGGAAGCACTGGTCACATCCTGTTCCGAGGCTTCCCTTGAGATGCTGCCTTTGAGCTTCATTGCTCATTTCTGAGAGAGTAAGACATGGTTCAGCCAGAGCCACGAGCCTCATTGTTGAAAAGTTGGCATCATGCCTTTAATTGCACTGAAGAGAAAGAGGGAGGGCAGATGACTTCAATACGTAGTTGTTGATTTTGTTTTAAAGAGCATCTCCTTTTTTCATGGTGGCAGGAGGGGGGGACATTATTGTAAAGCAGAGAAATTAGAGCTTCAGATGTTTTGGAACCCTTGAAATTCTCTTTTGTGTTGTCTCCCTGGTGTGGCTAGTATTTGTTCCTGGCGTTATTTTGATGTTACATAATTGAGAAAAGATTAGGACCATCAAATCTTGTGTTAAAAGTCAAATCCAAAAGAAAACAGAGCCTACCTGTTTCTCTTGGAAGTCAGCAAGGTGCTAGTAACAGAGAAGGGCTCATGCTGGGTTTTAGACACAATGAAAGGTGAGTGAGAAGTGGAGTATATGTGCTGCTAAAAGAGAAGTAACCTCTTTACTGCACTAATACCCACTGAAACATGTTCTCTTGTCCTGTCAGAAATGTGTTCTGGTTTCCTAAATATTCCCATGCTCCCAAATTGTTTCAATTTGAATGTGTGTACTTCATGATACATCCCTGCTGTAAAAATAAAAATAGTTAAAAATCAAACTAAGGTTTTCTTGGTAGACCGGGGTTTTGATGTTACTGCAGTATTCTGAAAATAGAAAATGAACTTAAAATATTTACCACACTTTAAAAAATATATATTTTATAACGTTTTATGTTTCAGTTTATTAATTTACCTGAATAGTTAATCTCTTCAGCTGTTTTAACTAATGTTCTTTTACCTACCGAAGCTAATCAATTATTCCAGAATAAACCCAAGTTTTAATAAAAGAAAGAATACTCTGATAAGCTCTGTTACTTCTGTCACTGGTGACTTGTCACAACGACCATGTTAAATATGTGCAGCCCGTTTCTCCTCAGTGGGTCTTTGCATTCAAGATGTACAACTCCTAAAAATTTCTAGATATATGTAGCAAGTGTCAAGCACTCTGTTTTAAATAGAACTGTGATTTAACATAATCCAGGCACACATTATTTATGCAATTCAGCCTGCACAGGTGACTCCAAGTGCAATGTATCAGTCCTACTCACATTTGCTGTTTAAGAAAACACCCATGAAATCTGCCTGCATGCTTTTCACTGCCATTGGCATGGTGGCAATGAGTAGGAGACATCTTGTTTCTGCAGCTGGAGAAGGGTGTGAAAACATTGTAGGCACTGCTCTTCCAAAATACAGAAAGTAGGGAATTTTGCAAAGGAGGAGGAACCCTTCCTCTTCATTTGCATGCCTCAGTGCCTAATAGCCATGACATTGATGCTTCTGGGATTAGACACTAGTGGAACAGGGAAAAGGATGCTACCAGCCTCCAAACTACCAAAGAGAGTGCCTGAAAGTGATATGGAGATGTTGGTGAAAGGGGCTGTGCCTGCACTGCCCCTTGGATTGACTCTAGGAATAGATCTGGAGAGTGAAACTGTTGGCACAGGGGACCTGATGCCCCCATGGTATGTATTGGAGGGGTACCTTGGACTAGTTGCAGGCTGGTCCCATGAGTTAGAGGGCAGTTTCCACTTCAGTCTCAAGTTTGCTGTATGATACTCAAGGGATAACCAGTTTGTCTGCTGTGAGAGTCCTGTGGAATGCAGGGGCAGAGAGAGAGAGAGAGAGAGTGTTAGTGAAGAGGTGTGATAAGGAGATTTACTTTTAAAGGTATGTACCTGGTCGAATAAAAACATTGCTGTAGACATATAAGGGCTTATTGCTGACTTTTTTTGGCAATGTCAATAGCTGTATCAAGGTGATGTGCTTGGGCACCCCAAGATGTGAGATTTCAGGCCATTAAGAAGCATAAAGAAAAACAAATTTTAATTTTGAAGTCTTTTTGTACCCACAGATACCTCTTGTATAGGATATAATTATCTGTCCTAATAAGTGTTTCCCAGAACAGCATACAGGAAGCAAGCTTGGGCTTTGTGGATTAATGTAACAGATAAAATACAATGTTGTTTCCACAGTATGTTGCCTAAAGTAAAACTGATAGTGGGTGTGCTCAGTGGTCAGTGATGAACTAGAAAGAGTCACTAACTGTCTGAAACTCTGGTGTGTTCATCCAACTATTGGAAAACTGAAGTAAACATTTCAGCAGGATGAGAGGCACCAAGGTATAGTTGGCCATCTCTCAGCTGCCATTTAAACATCTTTGGAGTCAGAAAATTCCACAAAGGACTGAAAACTTTCTGTGTCTTCATAAATTCAGTGCTCAAGTTGGTGTGGGTGGCAGGCTAAAACAAATACTTACTTCGTATGGTTTCAGCTGTGCACTTCTTGCCACAAGATGATGTGAATGCTGAAGGTTGCAAGCATTCAAAAACGCTTGGGCAAAGCTATGGAGGGGGAAAGAAGAATGGGGTTGATTGGGAAAGAAATGCCCTGTTAAAAAAAGAGATATAACCTCTGCATTTTGAGTGCCCTTAAGTCATGAATTGCTGAATGCTGGGAAAAAGACTGGTATGTACATCTTTATCTCTGTCAAGCATCTGTCAAGCACTGTCAAAAATTGGGATGCTGGACTGGCTGGGCCTATGATCTGACCCATTACCTCCTTTCTTGCCTCTTCTCCAAAACAACTTTTCTTCAAAGGCTATCCTCAAACACCAGTAAAGAGAATGATCTCTTTAATGTCCTTCCCAGTTCTGCATTTTGTTTAAAATCTTTACTTGAAAAAAAAGTATCGTAAGTATTTTCTTAATGTCACATTTATTTGTTCTTTCATTTACTCTGCTCAGCTCTGTAGAGGTTGGTAGCATGATTGTAGTTGTTTTATATTTCCTTTTCCTCAAGCATTCTTTCTTACCGGCTGCAGTTTTCCATCTATCTTCCACCCTTCATCATCCAAATTCACCCTGATCTCTTCCCAGATCACGGTGCCTGTCAAGGAGTCTGTATGCCAGAGCACCTGCTTCAAAAACACCATGTTGTAAGCCATATTTTCCTTCCTCTTTTTCCACAGAACAGGCTTATGGCTGGAGTGGCTGCACTGTAGCTGTAACTTGTCTGAACACCTCCTGGCACTTTATTGATGCTGTTGCCCAGCAGTGCCTGCTGTGGGCAGGGGCGGCTGTGCTGAGTATGTGTCCCCAGGCATTCAGCCCTGTGACAGTGCTCTCCTCCTGCCTCTGCACCAGCAAGCTGGCAAATCACCCTTGTAGCTTCACATGCACCGGGAAGGTGAGTTCTCAGTGCAGTGTTTTATGTTCTTGTGGCTACCAGGCCTGTTCAAACTGTCCTTGCAGAGCATGGTTGGTCCTTACTGAGGCAGTTGGCTGGGGTGCTTTATGCCCTGTTACACTAGGTGCTTTAAGCACTGAGCATTTATTCTACCAGCTGCAGGGTAGGACTGTAAAACTGCATTTTGAAAGATCAACGTGTGTGGCAAGGTTTACAGTTTAAAGAATATTAGCTAAATTTTACCATATCTCTCCACACATGAATTCAACTCACAGAGGATGAAGCAGGGGAAGTCATTAGAAGTGTGTAATTGTTTAAAACTAATATTCACTTCTTTTAGTTTTTACTCCCACCATACTGATTCCATATGTTTGATTATGCTAATCCACCATTTCACTTCAATTAAAACAGAAAAAACCACCAGAGGCTTTGGAAGAAAATAAATAATAATAATCAAAGTAATGGTATTCATCACACTATCCCTGTGGATTGAAATAGCTGGTTGGGCTTTGAAAGTTTTAAAGTAAATTTAGCATTTCAAGGCTGTCTTTGAAGCAGTTATTTCTTGGCTTCTATCTCCAGGTAGTGCCCATTCCGGATCCATTGGAATAGACACATATGGCAGCGTGTTGCATATTGTGAAATATTTTACATGTGTGTGCTTGCTGTCAGGAACCAGTGATTGGGTAGGTGCCTGCCCATCAGAGCTCATATGGCTCTCTGCAGTTACAGAATGCCTGTAGCATTTTATTTTCTACATGCAAAGTAT